AAGGTAATCATCATCTTCAAAAGGAAAAAATAAATTGTTTAGTCCTAAAAAAAAAGGTATTTTGATGACTTTATGGGTGTCATGATTCAATTTTGGTTGAACGAATTTATTCTTTATTATAAATAAAATCTCATAAAATCAATAATACAAGTAAATGGCCTATCAATTGGAGTATGTTTTCGAAACTAATAAAAGTCGGTCGGATTGCCAATCCAATTTGGCTCCGCTCTATTGAAATTTCGCTGATAAGAGGACCCCCGGCTTCGTATATAATAATTTTCTATCGTCGACGTTTTGCGAAAATAAAATATGATAAATAGAATCAATTCGTCTCGGGAAAATAGAATTTTCACTGTCGGTGTAGGGAGTTTTGTTCCGCATATCAAAAACAAAAAGAAATCCAGGACTGGATCTACTTATCACGTTTTTTTTTGCTTATGATCGAGCTTTTTATCATGTTATTTTTGTCAATATTTATATAAGAAAATTGGGCATTACTGATGAAAGGCAAAATTGAAATTTAAAGATTTGTTGTGAGTGTTGTTGAATTTTAATAAACAGACTGGAGGGAATTTCTCAAATAACTTTGTTATAAAGTGGTTGGTAACCCTAAATTGACAAATCTAAAGAGTAGAACAAGTACAATATCCTCTTGAAAACGAGTGAGAGTTCGCAACAAACTACTCGTTTACAAAAAAACTTTGTACTTGTTTCACTCATTAGTTCCAAAAAGCCTGCAATGATTCATTGAATAACTTGTTAAAAGCATGGTAGAAACCCTGACGAGTGGATTGTTGAACTTTGTAAAAAGTTATTCAAGTACGATATAACTACTCTTGAAAATGAGTAGTTTGCTGCGAAACTTGCTTCGTACTTGAACAATTGGTTATAAAGTTGTTTGTAACTTTGATGTCGAATCAATTGATGTGAATTTTTTGGAACCCATGAATGGAACAAGTACAATATCCTTCTGGAAATAAATGGAATTCAAACTTCTCGTTCTCAAGGGGATATCGTACTTTTTTCAATCATAGTTCCAGAACCTTTATAACAATCCACTTCTTAGGGTTTCTACCAACTTTGTAACAAATTATTTAAGTATGATATATTTCTTTGAAAACTAATAGTTTGCTACGAAATTCGCTACGCTCTTCTCAAAAAGTTCTACTCCTTCCCAGTTGAATGTCGCACTTGAACAACTTGTAAACCCAAACTACTCGTTTTTAAGATGATGAACAGGGTGTTTTTTTTTATATATTGACACCCCACCTGCAGCCTTTACCTTTACAGGTAGATGAAAGGTGTAAATACAAAAGTTGTACAGTATTGGTTAAATTTTTAGAATCCATAGTCAGAAACAAAAATTGAATATCAGAGATGTGAACTGTTGCATGCTTTCAGCTTTTTTCAAATAGGATGCCCTATATTTGGTTCTATATTCTTGAAGAGCATAATTTCTCGATTCCAAAACTATATAGTTTGTCTATATTGAACCGTCACCAACATATTTGGTTCTAAAGATTTCAAAAATACCATCAGAGAAACCAAATAGGTAGGTACCTCAAATTTTACCTGCAGCATTCACTTGTACAAGTAAAATGGTTTACAAAATCAGTAGTAGGATAGTACCTATATTTACAATTTTTGAAACCGAATATACGAGAGGCTGCTCAATCAAATATAGACAAATTATATATTTTTAGAAAAGGGATATTGTGCTCTTCAAGAATATAGAATAAAATATAAGACATCCCATTTCAAAAAAGTTGGAAGCATGCAAAATTTCACATTTCTGACATTTAAATTTTGTTTCTGACCATGGTTTCTGAAAATTCAATCAAAACTGTACAACGTTTGTATTTACACTTTTCTTCTACTTGTAAAGGTAAAGGCTATAGGTGGGGTGTTAATATATAAAAAAACACCCTGTACAAATAAGTGGATTATTGCGGAACTTATGGGTGGACCTTTGCGGGACGAACTCAGCGAGTTTCGCAGCCATCTACTCACCAATATACTGTTGAACTGTTCAAGTAAGACATTCGTCTAAATGTAGTTTTTGAACTAATGAGAAAAACTCACATTTGAGTGATCAAGTTAGTATCGTACTCAAACAACATATTGGTGAATAGATGGCTGCGGAAGGTGGAGGTCCACCCATAAGTTCCGCAACGATCCACTCGTTTGTATTTGAATAATTTGTTACATTATGTTATTAATTTGGTAAAGTAAGTGTAAGAATATCCACTTTTTGCCAATTTGCCTTTTAACAGAAATTAGTAATGTTACTTTACCAAACATAATGTGACAAATTATTCAAATACAAACGAGTGGATTGTTGCGGAACTTATGGGTGGACTTCTGCTCCGCAGCCCTCTATTCATCAATATGTTGTTTGAGTACGATACTAACTTGATCACTCAAATGTGAGTTATTCTCAATAGCTCAAAAACTACACGTTTCAGGTGAGTGTCTTATTTGAACAGTTTAACAGTATATTGGTGAGTAGATGGCTGCGGAGGTCCACCCATAAGTTTCGCAACAATCCACTTGTTTGTACTGGAATAATAACTTATTGCATAAAGTCAGAATTTGTAAGAACATCCACTTTTTGTCAATTTGCCTTTTAACAGGAATTAGTAATGTTACTTTACCAAACTAATAACATAATTCACTTGTTCTAGTACAAATAAGTGGATTGTTGCGAAACTTATAGGTGGACCTCTGCGGGACGAGCGTAGCGAGTTCCGCAGCCATCTACTCACCAATATACTGTTGAACTGTTCAAATAAGACACTCATCTGAAACGTGTAGTTTTTAAGCTAATAAGAATAACTCACATTTGAGTGAGTCAGGTTAGTATCGTACTCAAATAACATATTGATGAGTAGAGGGCTGCGGAACTCGCTGCGCTCGTGCCGCAGAGGTCCACCCATAAGTTCCGCAACAATCCACTCATTTTTACTTGAATAACTTGTCACATTAATTTATACTAGTTTGGGTAAAGTAATATTACTAATTCCTGATGAAAGGCAAATTGACAAAAAGTGAATAATCTCACAAATTTTGACTTTATATGATAAGTTATTGTTCAAGTACAAATAAGTGCATTATTGCGGAACTTATGGGTGGACCTCGCTGCGCTCGTCCCGCAGCCATCTATTTACCAATATACTGTTGAACTATTCAAATAAGACACTCGCCCGAAACGTGTAGTTTTTGAACTATAAGAATAACTGACATTTGAGTGAGTCAAGTTAATATCGTACTTAATATTGGTGAATAGATGGCTGCGAAACCCGCTGTGCTCGTACATACAGTAACCCTATGGCAAATGGATCGAAGTGGATTATTGGGAGCTTATGAGTGGAACAAGTACGGTATCCTGCTGAAAATAAGTGTAACTTTGCAATGGAGTTTTGCAGCAAACTACTCGTGCTCAAGAGGATATCGTACTTGTTCTGATTATAGTTTCAAAACCTTTATAAAAATCCACTCCTTAAGCTTTCTACCAACTTTGTAACAAATTATTCAAGTATGATATTTCTTTGAAAGCGAGTAGTTTGCTGTTCGTCTCACAGAATTCTACTCGTTCTCAGATGAAAGTCGTACTTGAACAACCTATTAACCCAAACTACTCGTTTTGAATAGGATATCGTACTTGTTCTGATCATATTTTCAAAACATTTTCAGGGTTTCTACCAATTTTGTAACAAGTTATTTAGGTACGATAACCTTCTGAAAACGAGTAGTTTGTTTCACTAGTTTTCATTTACCTAGAAATCAAAGAACTTGTTACAAAATTCAAAATTGTTAGTAAACCTGATGACGAACGGATTGATTACCACATATGTTTGAGTGGCTGAAAAAAGCAGAAATACTGCTATAAGAGTGGGAAAATTCCTCGCTTTTTAGCCAGGCGTCTATCTAAACAGCATCCCAGAAATATAATGGCGGATAAGGCATAATCACTCGTATTGATCTTTTATAACTATGGGTATCTCTATACAAACAAGGCGAGCTATAATTAGGAGATTGTTGGAAGGATAGGAAAAACGTTGCCCAATAATAATAATTATTATTTTTTACTCCATCCTGGCGCTAAAACTATACTCACATTATTATAACGCCTCAAGTATGTTATATTTATTCATATAGTAATTATAGTATACGTTGTTCATACAAGATTAGGCAAACTAAAGAATTCTCAATAAACTATCAGGTAATCCCGATGACTAATCCACGCACCGCGTATCAAGAAAATTTAATAACTCCATGTGAATGCACCCGATTAGCATTTAAATGGACATTACGGCTGCTCTGAGTCCATCCTAAATAATTCATAAACGGCCCTGACGATAATCCTGGAAATGTAGTAAAGTAGGCTTTTCGACTTAAGAGCGAACCTAAATTATAACTTAATCGACACTACAATATACAGGGTGAAAAAAATAGCCCTGTAAACACGGTGATTAGGGCGAACACGCAGTAACGCTTTATATCAATTTTGCCGATCTTAAAATGCAAAATAAACGAGATAGGGAATTGGTCATTACCATATACCGACGTAACGTCTCTATTATCGTGGAACAATTTCCGATGATAGGGGCATGTTGCACGCTATTGACAAATTCTAGTTTCCATGCAGAAGATTATCGTCGCAAACAACATAAGCTCTCTATTAATTCTTGGTAATTGAAAAAATCAAACGCCTGTAATTTCGCTCATCGGAAAACACTGTGATTTAAAGTTCTGAGACGTTATGGCTTTATAATTTCTAAATTTTCGAGCGATACCAGATCTGGCTTGAGGGACGGCCAAAGGCTTCAAATTATCGGTATCTACGCACACCGCTTCGCGTCAAGATAACACGATTTACATATTTCAAGATTCACCAACTTTATTATTAACATTTTCTGGTTTCTAAACACTGAGTAGAGAATTGAAAAATTCCTAAGGCTCTTCTTGATTGTTTGATCAAAAACATTTTATATTTTCAGGTGCTGGTAGTAGTGGTGAAGCTGATTCGGAATCAGCAGCGTCCAAACGACGAAGAAGTAGAACGAATTTCAATAGTTGGCAACTGGAAGAATTGGAAAGGGCCTTTATGACCAGCCACTATCCAGACGTTTTCATGCGAGAAGCCTTGGCGATGAGATTGGATTTGAAAGAGAGCCGAGTAGCCGTAAGTTACTTATTCTACTATTTGCAGATATTTCAATAAGTATTGTTGGTACTATTCTACCATTTGTAAATGTTTCAATATACTCATTGAACTTGAAAATATAATTATTTGTTTTCAAAAAGATTATAATTATTATTTATTGAATATCCAAGGATAATTTGGTCAGCTTATTAATAAATCAATATTATTATTGTTCGATTTTTTGTAGACTTCATTCAATTTCAAAACATGAGATACATTATCGTAACTGCTGCCATTTTTAGCGTGCAAAACAGAGAGAAATAATTGAGACACATACCGGGGCAAAATTTAATGAAAATTGGCCTGCCTTGTATTACTTACCTACACGCTAAGATACAGAACAGTATCTATAGAAAAAAAAAAAAACAATTATTAATTAGAAATTCTAGTAAGTTGCAACATTTGAACTGTTTACAATACAAAATACTTAGTCTTTGGTGAAATATTCTGATTCAATTTGTCATAGTATCAAGTAAATTACCTCAAAATTGATTCTATATTACAAAAAACTTCCTCCTATTCCGTCTCTGGGTTAGGCTAAGCTCTAAAAGGTAATTAACATAGTCATTTGAGGGCGTCAGTTCGGCAGCAAAGCGAGTTCCATGGCGTGTAGTGGCTTGCACCTTCTTATTCGCTCTATTTCGCCGATAGAGCCCTTTTCGGTTTCGTATAGTAATTGAGCGATATGCATATAAATTGGCTTTTGGATCATTGAGGATATGAAATTTTCGTTTCAAAAGTAAATATTTGGAGTTTGAAGGCATATTTGAATCGTTTTTGGTTGAAAAATATTGGAACTATCTCCGATTTGTCACAGGTCTTGACACGTAAAGAGTTACAATGTGACTATCATGAAAACTAGTGAATTGTTGTGGAAATTGCTGCACTCGCTTCGGAAAGTTTTTGAAGTAATAAGTAAGACCTATGCAGCAATCCGCTCGTTTCCTGGGGTACTTAGAGTGAAAATATCTATTTTAGATTAGCTCCATCTTTCCGCGTACCAAGAGTTATTACAAAATGAATGTGAGTAGGTACTCTGGAAACGAGTGGACTACTGTGCAAAGGTCTACTCATTATTTCCAAAACTTTGCGTATCATTGCACTCACTTTCAAAGTATGTATGATTCGACATACTCGGGTTATGCTGTGGATAAAGCCACACAAGTTTGCTTTTTGGAAAACCTGCATTACCAGCATAAAGAACAATTGAACCACTGGTGCTGTTTCTATCAGTTTTATTCACCAGCCCAGTCTGCATCCGAATATGTCACTAAGTCTGGATAATGGAAATAAGTACTTAGAATCTCAGTGACCATTGGAGTTATAACACCTTTATACTCAGCCATGTAACTTTTCTGTGTTATTGTTACTTTTTGAGATGTTCTCCATGAACTTTTTAACTTCACCCAGAAATTTAGTATTCAGTTTCACTTTCATTATATTAACAAGACTTTGTACCTTGTCCTCATTTCCAGTTATAATCAAGTTATCAGACTCAATATTGCCATTTAGAAAGACTGTGGGAATGTCCAAGTGACATATACATATTCCAACTATATTAATCCATTTACGAGAAAAGTCCTTATGGTCGATAACCTTGCAACTGGACCATACATAGTGCCAAAAGGATCCTTGTATTTTTAATCAGGAACTCCTAGGCATAATTTTGAATTCTGTATCCAAATTCAACTTCTGAGTATTCTCAGCAGTGTTGCCAGATCTACTGAATTATCAGTAGATCTACTGATTTAGCCACTGGTCTACTGATATACTGATATCAATGTAAATTCTACTGATAAAAGCCGTTGTCATATAGCGTTATGCTGTATAACTTACTGCAGTCTGTTTTACCTGTTTTTATAAGACTAGACTACTGCATAGATTCCCATTTGAAAAAAGCTGAAAGCATGCCATGCAACATTTCACATTTCCGACATTCAATTTTTGTTTCTGACCATGGATTCTGAAAATTTACCCAATACTGTATAACTTTTGTATTTATACCTTTCATTTACTTGTAAAGGTGAAGGCTGTAGGTGGGGTGTCAATATATAAAAAAACACTCTGAACTTGAACAATAACTTATTATATAAAGTCAGAATTTGTAAGATTATCCACTTTTTGTCATTTCGCCTGTCAACAGGAATTAGTAATGTTACTTTACCAAACTAGTAATATATTGTAACAAATTATTCAAGTACAAATTAGTAAATTGTTGCGGAACTTATGGATGGACCTCTGCGGGACGAGCGCAGCGAGTTCCGCAGCCCATTACTCATCAATATGTTGTTTGAGTTCGATACTAACCTGACTCACTCAAATGTGAGTTATTCTCATTAGCTTAAAAACTACACGTTTCAGGTGAGTGTCTTATTTGAACAGTTCAACAGTATATTGGTGAGTAGATGGCTGCGGAGGTCCACCCATAAGTTTCGCAACAATCCACTCGTTTGTACTGGAATAATAACTTATTGCATAAAGTCAGAATTTGTAAGAACATCCACTTTTTGTCAATTTGCCTTTTAACAGGAATTAGTAATGTTACTTTACCAAACTAATAACATAATTCACTTGTTCTAGTACAAATAAGTGGATTGTTGCGAAACTTATAGGTGGACCTCTGCGGGACCAGCGTGGAGAGTTTTGCAGCCATCTACTCACCAATATACTGTTGAACTGTTCAAATAAGACACTCACCTGAAACGTGTAATTTTTAAGCTAATGAGAATAACTCACATTTGAGTGAGTCAAGTTAGTATCGTACCCAAACAACATATTGATGAAAAGAGGGCTGCGGAACAGAGGTCCACCCATAAGTTCCGCAACAATCCACTCGTTTGTATTTGAATAATTTGTCACATTATGTTATCAGTTTGGTAAATTAACATTACTAATTCCTGTTAAAAGGCAAATTGGCAAAAAGTGGATATTCTTACACTTACTTTACCAAACTAATAACATAATGTGACAAATTATTCAAATACAAACGAGTGGATTGTTGCAGAACTTATGGGTGGACCTCTGCGGGACAAGCGTAGCGAGTTCCGCAGTAATCTATTCACCAATATGTTGTTCAACTACAATACTAACTTGATTCTCTCAAATGTGAGTTTTTCTCATTAGTTCAAAAACTACATTTAGACGAATGTCTTACTTGAACAGTTCAACAGTATATTGGTGAGTAGATGGCTGCGGAACTCGTTGAGTTCATCCCGTAAAGGTCCACCCATAAGTTCCGCCATTTATTCATCAAATGTTGTTTAATTACGATATTAACCTGACTCACTCAGATGCGAATTATTCTACTAAACTACTTTTTTCAGATGAATGTCTTTCTTGAACAGTTCAACAGCATTAATAAGTAGATGGCTGCGGAACTCGCTGCGCTCGTCCCGCAAAGGTCCACCCATAAGTTCCGCAATAGTCCACTTATTTGTACTTGAACAATAACTTATTATATAAACTCAAAATTTGTAAGATTATGATTATTCACTTTTTGTCAATTCGCCTTTCAACAGGAATTAGTAATGTTACTTTACCAAACTAGTAATACCTATATTGTGACAAGTTATTCAAGTACAAATGAGTAAATTGTTGCGCAACTTATGGGTGGTCCTCTGCGGGACGAGCGCAGCGAGTTCCGCAGCCATCTATTCATCAATATGTTGTTTAATTACGATACTGACCTGACTCAGTCGAATGTGAGTTATTCTCATTAGTTTCAGGTGAATGTCTTACTTGAACAGTTTAGCAGTATATTGGTGAGTAGTTGGCTGCGGAACTCGCTGCGCTCGTCCCGCAGAGGTCCACCCATAAGTTCCACAACAATTCACTTATTTGTACAGGGTGTTTTTTTATATATCGACACTCCACCTACCTCCTTTACCTCCAGGTAGAAAAAAAGTGTAAATAAAAAAGTTGTACAGTTTTGGTTGAATTTTTAAAAAACATAGTCAGAAATAAAATTTGATTGTCAGAAATGTGAAATTTTGCATACTCAGCTTTTTTCAAATGAGATGCCCTATATTTCATTCATTCTATATTCTTGTGAAGAGCACAATGCTCCGATTCCAAAAATATATAGTTTTCTATATTTGATTTAATAGTTTCTCATATGTTTGGCTCCAAAAATTGCAAAAATACTATCCTACTATACTGATTTTGTGAACTATTTTACCTGTACAGGTGAAATTCGAGGTTGATACTTGTTTTTTCTGATAGTATTTTTAAAATGTTTAGAACCAAATATGTTGGAGCCGACTCAACCAAATATAGACAAACTATATAATTTTGGAATTGGGAAATTGTACTCTTCAAGAATATTGAACCCAATATAGGGCATCCCATAGGTAGTGAATATTTAATAGAAATATCTCATATGTCTTAATCTTAATAAACTATCTCTCATAAGTAGTATTATTGGTGTTTGATTTTTTAATGCAAATTTTCATAGTCTAATGATTTAATGGTTTGAAGAAACGTAGTTAAACTAATTAATTGAGTATACCCTAATGGTTTACCCCTTTAACAAGGCAACTTATCTGGTCTACTGATTTCTACTGATATTTAGACTGGTAATCTACTGACAAAACAAAATATGACCTGGCAACACTGATTCTCGGCTTTTGAGTGGGATACTTTGGTATGATTTAATGGATTAAGTTGTTTTCACCCTAATCAAGAGCCTGGAATAGGAAAAAAAATTGAATTTTTATTATCCAAATTAATTTTTTGACTATTGTAAGCTCAAGATTTGGATAAGTTGGTATGATTTGATTAATTGGCTAATTTTTAACCCGATCAAAAGCCTGGAATAATCAAAATTTCAAATTAAATAAGTACATCCATTTTCAAGGTTCAAGACTTGAATACTTTGGTATGATTTGACTGATTGACTGGCTTGTAACCCAATCAAAAGCCTGAAATAGGCATAATAATTTCAAATTATATTTAAATAAAAATGTCCAAATTCAACCTGTGACTATTCTCGGCTCTTGAGTGGGATACTTTGGTATGATTTAATGGATTAAGTTGTTTTTTTCCCTAATCAAGAGCCGGGAATAGAAAAAAAATTGAATTATTAGTATCCAAATCCATTTTTTGACTGTTCAAATTTCAAGATTTGGATAATTTGGTATGATTTGACTGATTGACTGGTTTCTAACTCAATCAAAAGCCTGGAATAGGCTCCTTATAGCTACTAACCTTGCCTTCTTTGGTTCTAAATACTTATCTCGTATCAGTGGTTGATTTTTTCTCTAGAAACTTACATATACAGTCCAAGTTTATTCCATTATTATTCTGCCACTCAACAGATTTCTAAGCGTCAGCAAAAGTTTGAGGATCATCCTGAGACTCAATAGTGTTGTAAGCAGCATATATCTCGCAATCTTCCAAGTGTTGTGGTTTATTTACCTGCTTTCCAACCCTTGTAATTATTGGTTCTTGACATTCTTGTTTTTGCATCATGTAAATCCTGAGATACCTACACTTACACTATTGTCGGCTTATACTGAATTGTCTGGCTCAGAACTATCCTCATTTTCATAAAAACTTTCTTGATTTAATTCTTCGTTTTGCATAAGCCATACTATTAAATCCTCTTCATTTTGTGCAAGTTTTGTCTCGGGTTCTGTTCCCCTGGTTATTTCTTCATGTTAATTCTTGTACTCAAAGGATACCACATCTCGCTCACTCTCTAGAATAATCATCTATCAAAGTGAAAAAGTACTTACTGCCTCCAACTACTGATGTTGTCTCCATGAGTCCACATAGATCACTATGCACTTATTCCAAAATCTTATTTGATTGTCTAGAAAGAAACATACGGTTCAGTGTCTATAAGTTTATGTTCAAACCACTAGACATATTTAACAATAGCTCCATATTCTTTCTGTTCAGGTGTCCTAACCGTATGTGCCACAAATCGTTTGTTTCTTTCACACTCTAATATACTAATAATTCACTAACTACTCGTCCAAATGTATCTCCACTTAAAATAGTCTTAAACTGATAAATGTCATTTACTCCAAAACCAGTGGCTACAATTTCATTTGACATATCTATAATTTGAGCTCATGCTAAATATTATCTTGTGAGCATTTTGCACAATTTTACTTAAATAAAGTAAACTTACTGCTGCATCAGGAGCATACATAACCTCTTCCTATTATCTTATTTTCACCAATAATCACTACGCTAATGTTCGCTGTTCCTTGTGACGGTCTAAGCTTATGACACTATACTGAGTTTGGAATTGTTTGTTGTGTATATGTTTCCACCTTTACTAGACACATTGTCCCTAAACCACTGTTTATTTTTGGTTAAGTGCACTGAATCACAAGAATCTGAGTACCTACCATATGCGTCCTTCCGTAAATATTTTCTTTGAGGATAAGCAGGCCAGACAGACTGTGTTCCCCTTATTCTTATTGTTATCTTTATCACTCTGTTTGCTGGTACTTACTTCATCTTGTAATAACTGAACCTTCACAGAAGTTATCTTAGTCCAAACCCATAATCATATAGGCCAGTACCTATTCGTCTGGTAATCCTGCTAACAAGAAAGCGCTCACCCATTTTTCTTCTATTTCAAAGTTTCACTCATTTAACTTTTGTGCGATTAAGATTATTGTGTCACAATAGGTTTCTACAGATACAGAATCAAAGGACTTGGTTGTTACTAGCTTTCTCAAAAGACCAACTCTTCTCGTAAGTTTCAAGTCCTGAAATGCCTATGTAATAATTCAATTTTTATTTCCGTCATGAATTATTGATGAAAACTCGGTTCGTCAAAGTAAAATCCTAATCTTAGCTTCTCCTAGCCAATAAAATTCAAATGGGGGAAAGGTCCATTTGACCGAAAGTCCTTCTTCGACAACCCGAAAAAACATATGTATATCCCTCTACTTTGTTAAAAGAAAAACCCAAGAAACCAGTGTCGTATCTTCGCCATTTAAATGTCAATTTCCCAAGAAAATCGCTTATCTTATTATGTCTTTATTATTGAATCCTGGAAAAAGATTGCGGTCTAAAAAATAATTACCCTGCGCTTTATTATCGAGACCGAAAACCATAATTTGGCCCTATATAATATACCCGCAACCATCCGGTGAAGGTAAAATTAATTTTATTTTAAAGAAGAAACCTTTCGGAGGCATAATACCCGTTATTAAAAAATTGTTAGGCACCATTTTTTTTGTAAATCGTTTGGACGAAATCTGTTTTGCCCTAACGACTCTCTTAGAGCTGTGGGGGTAATGAAGTCATTTTGTGAACAGTGGTTCGACTTTCAGTAAAATCACTCAAAGTCAACTCAATTCAAGCCGATCTTAATTACCTGATATGGTAAAAACGGCAATTAATATCTAAGTAATCGAGTAATTTTCCAATTTGGTGCTTCAAGGCAGAGAAATTAGGATTTTTTTAGGTCAATTTTAAATTGCTTTTGTTCCACTGTACTGTGGGTAGAAAATTGAAACCTAGTGGTCACATCAAAGTAGGGCGTAATACGAAAATAATTGCATACCGGCTCGAAAAGGAACAAAGTAAGTATGGACACGTAAAAACGCCATAATGATGAAATTTCGTCCGCCTCTGCCTTCGAAAGGGTCAATCCTTGGGGTTAAAAAAGGGTCTTCAGGAAATCGGCCTGCAAAAGACTGGCTGCAGACTCCCCGAGGATCGATTGGTCCGGCCGCAAGATCGGTCTTTGATACACGCTAACTTTCCAATATTGACTGGAAAACCATATGGGGGATGAGCCTCCCTTTTGCGATATGTCTATATTGTTTTCGAATTGATGGCGCTACCTCAATAGATAAAAACTTTTCCTTATTGTTTCAGGTTTGGTTTCAAAATCGACGGGCAAAATGGCGGAAAAAGGAGCACACGAAAAAGGGACCTGGTCGACCCGCTCACAACGCGCACCCGCAATCGTGTTCGGGAGAACCCATTCCACCAGCTGAGCTCAAAGCCAGAGAGAGAGCGAGACGAAGGAAAAAGTTACAAAAGGCTTTGGAGAGACAAGCCAGGAAACTTAGAGCGAAAGGTAATTATTTGGTTCAAAAATAATAATTATATTTTTCGAAATTGGCATATGAAACTTCGCCGCTATTTATGAAACAGAAATAGAACTTCCAGGCTCTCCTTTGTAAAGTTTAATAATATAGAAGAGATAGTGTAATGTACCTACTACTCACTTAACATTTTATTGTAAACGTAACATAAGGCACCCTTTCAGTCATCATCCGATGGATGATATGTTGAGTGGTGGGCTAAAATAATTAGAAAAATAGTGGCAGTCTCTGTCAAAGATCCTCTATGGTAATTGATTGAGTTTCTTTTGAATAAATTGGATCTTCAAGAATCATGTAGAGTATTTCAATGTTGCAATCACAGACACAATATCTTTATCCATGGTATGGGATAATGATTGGCCCTATTTCTAGGTTCTAATTACCTGAGGTTTTCCAATGTGAATAGGCGAGTGCGCTTATCCCGCAGAGTTTTCAAAGTAATGGAGTAGGAGCTCTGCTCTGCTCGTTCCGCAGCAATCCACTTATTTCCTGGAGTACTCACATTAGAAATGTTGAATCTACATAAGATCAAGCCTATCTCTTGGCACTTAAAGAGCTAGAGTTTGAGATTTATCAATGTGAGTTTCCTGAAATTGCAATAACCAGCGCTCACAGGCTATTCCAAATAGACAAGTTCAAGCCTGGCGACCTGAGGGGACATCTGAAAATCGTTGATCTAATAACACTGGAGAATGCCAGCAAACCAAGTGACCACATGATGGTCAGATTGGACTTAGAGATCCTCTTCGCAGTGGTAATAAACGACCGCCAATCATGGGAGAATAAAGAACTACCACAAGCAGACAATGCATCTCTGTGGTACACAGATGGATCCAAGCTAATGGTAGGAGCTGGACTAGGCATTTCCGGCCCTAACTTCAAGCTCTCCAAGGCATTGGGTAAACATCTTACAATATTTCAAGCCGAGCTGCTTGCCATAGATATATGTGCACAAGAGTGTCTTAACCAAAGCCTCAAAAGAAAACACATCTTCATACTATCGGACAGCCAAGCTGCCTTAAAAGCCTTGAGGGCTTTCAAATGCACGTCAAAACTAGTCTGGGAGTGTAAACAGACCCTAAAAACACTAGCGACACATAACCAGGTAACGCTGATGTGGCTGCCTGGTCATCGAGGCATAGAAGGAAACGAAGAGGCAGATGGCCTCGCAAAGGAAGGGGCCTCAACACCATACCATAGACCAGAGCCCTACTGTGGCTTAATGAGAAGCCACATCATGGAAGAACTCAACAAATGGGAGAAAGACCAACTGTCATCATATTGGAGGCACACACCGGGACTCAGACAGTCAAAAAGGTTTATTACCCTTTCAGCAAAAAGAGTTGAACAGCTCCTAAGTATGAGCAGACCAGACATCAGATTGGTGGTGGGATTGCTCACAGGACACTGCCCAGTAAAATACCATTTAAGGTTAATGGACAGAGCAGAAGACGATCTCTGCAGATTCTGCTCAGACGCAATAGAAACCGCAGAGCACCTGCTCTGCGAAGGTCCAGCCCAATTCTGCAAGAAGCTCAAATTCCTCGAGGGGGCAACACTGTCACCAGAAGAAGTGGGCCAACTGACACCCAGGAAAATAGCTTCCTTCGGCAGAAGTCTACGCTTCCTGGAGACAAATTAAGATGTAGAGTCACGCACAAAATATCTGCAAAGGTAGCAGTGCTGAGCGGCTGAAAAGCCGAAACGACTCCCCAGAAATCTACAAATCTGCAATCTGAAATTGAGTGGACTGCTGCGGAACTAGGTGCGTGCTCTTTGCGCAGAGTTTTCGAAGTAATGAGTAGAAGTTTGCAGGATGAGTAGAGCGGGTTTCGCAGTAATCCATTCATTTCCTGGACTACTGACAATGGAAATGTTGAATCTATCTTAGATAAAGCCAATCAATCCATTCATTTTTGTGGTAATCACATTGGTGAACGTTAACATGTAACTTTTAATGTGGCCTAATCTGGAATAAATTCAATATTTTCACTACGAATACTCCAGGAAATGAGTAGATTGCTACGGGGCGAGCGGACTCCTACTCCGGTTGGGAGTTTATCATACTAAAATTGCAAATTAATCTTATAGAACCTAACAAAATCTTTAATACAAAAATGAATTTGAATATTTTCTTGGAAAACTAGTTGGGTCAGTTTGCTTCAGGGGGAAAATTATTTGAAATTTCCAGGAGCCTGATTTTCAGAACAAGGGGGAAGGGTTCAACAAGTAGGTACCCTGTCCTTCTCTCCTTCTCAGCTTGAAGCAAAATCTCATATGAGTAACAAAGACGTTGAAAATTTGTTCTCATAAGAACCTTGTTCCAAGAATCAGGCGGCAGGATCGCAAGTTGAACAAAATTCCAAAAACTCAGAGGGCTTTGGATCAAACAATGTTGAATATAAGACCTACATCCAGAAAAAATATGCTAAAAAAGAAGAAATAGAGGAAAAACAAGCAGAAAAAGAACGAGAACAAAAAGAAGTTAATATTTCTAGAATAAAAATGATAAATTTTCTGTTTCTTGAGGACGCACTATAAGATACATTCATGTTTCTGCGTTTACAACTTTTATTTTTTCAAAAAGTGACTTCAGAAAAAGTCTGAGACTCAAAAACAAAGTACTAACAATCAATTTTGAGATGATATTTGAAGAACCATTTAGCATTGATGACGGATTTGGACGGAGTAGCTTGTTTTGATATTTCCCACATTATTCTTCAACAATGGGCCAACCATCAAAATCCTATTATAGCTAGCGACTTTAACCTACCTAGAATTTCATGGCCATTGACAGATCTAGGGATGGGGCAGCCCTTTTAGGGTAAAAATTTCTAACAAACTTAGGTCTACACCAAACCAACCCATTACAGAGAGGGTCAAACCCCATCACTTTTGAATCTAGTCATAGTTAAGGACACCAGAGCTGATGTGCGGTATTCGGGTACAAGTACTCTTTATTTGTACTTTTTACTCTAAATACATTTTAAGTTACTCGGTACCCAGGCCAAGGAACTTTTTGAATCATGTACCTGTACTTGTATACTTGAACTGCTTAAAAATATAAAAAATACCTGGTACTTTTTGTTATACTCGAGTATTTTCATCAAGTTCGAATACATCTACAGTTACTGACTGAAATTATTGGATTCTAAGTAAATATATATTTATTTGGCTATAAGTACATTTCCAGACAAGTAGAGATAATGGGTCTGTTCCAACACGTCAAAAAACCGTTTCGAAACCACTCAGTAAACAAATTTCGAGTTCTATGCACAAATTTTAAGTTTTTCGCAGAATCATGACGGTACATTGTACCTACGGTTTCCTGTTGTGTTAGAACAAAGCTATTATGTTACGATATGACCAATTTTCTGGAATTATTTCTTGTTTAGCGTGCATGAGATTTGTAATGAGGTAGCATTAGATTCTGTTTTCACGTATAAGTATGCGTTAGGTTAAAGATCACTCTGTATATTACCTAATAAGTAAAAATCTAAACTCAATAATTTCAATAAAAGATATTTATTTTTTGGTGAAAATATTTTACACATGACGTGTTAGGGCATAGTAAAACACGCAGTTTTATCACCTACGGAGCACTAGCCTGGTATAACCGAACCCATTTAGGAAAACCCTATAGGAAAAGTGCAAAGATTCGCGTGTTTATGTATAACAGGAGCAATGAGATCATGCAACCGCGACAGTAGAAGTCATTATATAAACCTCACACCACTCCACATAATAGTGAAGCGGGTTTCCAGTAGATCATGTCTCAGACTGCAAAAGATAGATTTACAAAGGAAAACGCACCTTGGCAGAACTTTTCTTCTCCCAAACTGTGCACACCGCATAGATCTACCAAAAGACGTGATTGTTGATAAATTCAGTTCCAAGAAAAACTTCTCCATCGAACTAAGTACAAAAAACAGATGGAAGATGGAATATATCCAATCCCTTAAAGCAAACACCATCAAATGGTACACAGGCGGTTCCAAAACTGCTGAGAGAACTGGAGCCAGAGTATTCGGATCACAAACCAAATACTCGGAGCCAATGGGTAAATAACGAAGCATATTTCAAGCAGAACTTCATGCGATGGGAAAATGCGTGCAGTTCAACCTGAACAGAAGTTATCGGAAAAGAGAGATTGTAATAATGTCTGACAGCATTGAGATCCCCGGCCATCAATTCTAAGACATTATGGAAATGTTTACAAAAACTAAATGAGCTGGGAAAAAAAAATAAAGTTACCCTCCTCTGGGTGTCAATGTGTGCTGGTCAACCTTAGCAAGAAAAATCGCAAGACTCTAACCGGGTTTCTCTTGGGACATTGCAGACTTAAGAAATACCAACAGAACTTGGATTGGAGTTAGAAGAAAAAGACACCTGCAGATTCTGTGAAGACGGAGAAGAGACACCTCACCATCTTCTACTGAACTGCGATGAGTACAATGGCGTTAGTCGCTCAAGGATGAAGGACCTGGGAAGTGCCCCTATATAGTTGGGAGACATTCTAGCCCTGGAACCGCTAGGTATCCTTAAATTCCTGAAAAACCTAGGATTGGAGAGGCTGCTTTGAGCAGCAGGAAACCCGAACTTAGCAGCAGAAGGAGGAGTACAATAGATCAACTTTGGTCGCGGGGCAACTGACACTTCTAACACACATAAACACATACATATATTTATTTTGCTTTGAAAATTAACTCTATTGTTTTAGAATAATTAGTGATAGAGAGGTACCTACCTACTACTTAGAAATAATCAAAAAAAGGTAAATCATATTTTAAACTCATAAAAAACTCTTCGCCTCCTGACAACTCACATCTTCTCTCACAAAATGTATTCCTAAATGTACTCGGTACTTTGAGTACTTCGATATTGCCAAGCACTTTTACCCGGTACCCGGCGAATAGGTACATTTTGCCTGTACCCGGAACAGCTCTGATGATACACACTTTATCACCAAACATGAGCACTTATCACCCATTGGAAAACCAGACCACGAACTAATAAAACTGACAATGCAAGCAAGACTTGTGTTATTAACACAGATTGAAAAACAACAGAATATAGAATGAAACACATGAATTATGAAGATATAAATTATCATGTACCACAAATCAGCTATTGGAACAAGTAGTTCTCTCTGATGACAATATGGATCACGCATAACTAGAGACAATATTAGATAATAACACATAATACAAAACCAAAAGAGTGAATAACCGAAAACCATGGATAACTAAGAACCACATCCGAGACTGTAAGAGTTACGTACCAACAATTCCACTGATTACAGGAAACATTGCACCTTCCTTCTCCAAGACTCTAACACAAAAAATTGAATACATACATTGACAGCCTACACAAATACATTAGAACACAACTGAACACCAAAATTGGCGTTCCTATTTTAAAAACTTCAAATAGAGAAATGTGCACAAACAATATTGAAAAAGTCACCATCTTGGCAAACGAGTTTTATATGACGCAGGCATTAATTCCTGAAGATCTCCAAATAAATTTCGACAAGGTACAACTCAAGAAGATGAAGGTTGCCAGCTTTCCAGGTCTGAATATTCTCACGGGTTCTTAGAAAGTGCTCAAACAACCTTGCTGTTTCTGTGAAAAATAATTAATGTGTCACTTCTCGCTGCTTGGAAAGTTTCATGAGTCATTCTGATATACAATGGAAACTACAGGCCAATTAACCTGCTATACATTGTAAGAAAATCATGAAATCCCTGGTTACAAAAAACTTGAGAGGTTTTCTTAAACGAGAACAATTGATTTCAAATGAACAACATGGTTTTGTATTGAAAGGGAGTAAGTACCACAACTGGATCATGTTGGTGTGAGCTTTGGACCAACTAGGTAGGTATTATTACAAACAGGGAGTACAAAGTCAGAATTGGCGACTCATGCCCTGAACCATAGCTAAATTATTTTTGAAAAGTTTTTCTAAATTTGCATGAAAAATATTGTCATATGCCTCACGGGTAATGTGGGTAGGGAATTAGGTTAGGGATTGCTCTTCAGGATAACACACAAAAAGGAGCTCAACGTATATTGTCTGCTAGTGGGTACATCACGTAGGTGCACCACATGATTCTTACATTCGGAGTTCTACGTACATATACTGGGATGTAACTGGTTCCCACACGTATAGGCGGCGGTGCGCTGAAGGGCAAGACTCTCTGGGGTAAGGCGATCCTGAAGAAGATTGCTCCAAGACTCTCTGGGGTAAAGCGACCCTGAAGAGAATTGTAGCTACTGCTCCTTTGGGTGAGGGGACCCTGTGCCCATGGGCTGCATCGGTTTTTGAATCCATTTCGTGTAAACATTATAGTTTACACGTTGAACTGCTTGAACTGCTGATTGTTGATGAAATGTGTTCTAGTTTTATTGAGTTTTTGATATACAGAGTGGTTTTATTTTAGACCAGTTGACAATATGTCTTAATCTTTTGTATCATAATTTCGTATTTCTATCCTCAATTTCAATATTTAAACATTCTTTATATTATTTACAACTTTATCAAAGAAAATTTTTATTGTTTCAGGTATAGCAGTGGATTTAGTGGCGCTGAAACGCGAATACCTGGCGCAACGCGGCACCGACACAATAGACAGTGACAGTGACATTGACGTTGTCGGCGACTCGGGCGCCGAATCGGAAAACTTCGGCGACAATTCGATGTTCGGCACGTCGGTGACCGACGCGAGTGATAGTAGTGGGGGTATGGACCTCACGTCTAGTGCGCACGAGCACCTCGACGAAAAAACTAGGCAGAGACCTAATCCGTTTAGTATAGATTCTTTATTGAATAATAATACTTAAAATTGATTGTTTTTGAGGATTGATATGGGCATTTTTGTTTTTTTTTTTTAATGTAAAAATTTAATATGGTGCAATAAGATGTCATGATTTAGATTTCTCCGTACTAAATTGTTTTCTATTTATTTTGTTGTGATATTTTTTTTTGTAACATATTTTTTTCCTTTGTATATAAATTGTATACATATCTTTAGCCAGTAAGCATATAATAATTATTATTTATTGTAAATAAAGTATTTGATACCTTGTGTAAAAAGCCGCCCAATAATAGTAAGGTACATTCCAATAAAGTGCTATAAAAATATTGAAAAAAGCACATGTATTTATTAAGTTTAAATGTAAAAATTAAGTTTTCTTGGGCTGGGACTCTATAATGAATAGAGACCATTATCCCTATCGCTATTACACTTGCTGTCTTCTTTCCTTTTTTCGGAATTAGTAGAGATAGAGAATATATCTCTATCCGTTACAGAGTCCCAGCCCTGGTGGTTTATATAAGCAACGAGAAAATTGTACAGCAAATAATAGGCTCGAGCCTAAAATTTTCAAAAACCAATTAATATTTGTAAAAATGTATTTTACACGAAAACATCGAAGCAATGTATTTACCTGATTATAAAGTAATAATACAACAACAAAAAAAAACTTTGTTTTCCTTGTTCAATAAACTGAAAATATCAAACTAAAAATAGTATCAAAAATAAATTTAGTTATTTATTCCATAGATTTGAAGTTTGTGTTCTTCTTTGGGTGTCCTTGATTTTTTTACAGATTTCTTTTGGATTTTCAGTTATACAGACATGACTAGGCAACTAGACATATGGGTTTCAATAGGACCAGTTGACTGATACCCATTTCATCGGCCCTTAAAACTCGTGCAGAAATCTACTACAAGCTAATTCGTCCTCTTACTTTATATGTGTCTAGTAGTTTGGTCTGGTCTGTATGTATCCATTTTCTAGGGTTATATTGAAAGTATTCTGACTTAAGCAGAAAAGGTGAATTACCTACCTAACCTAAGAACCGCTTTTTCAACTCCAAGAATTAAATTACTTGGTCTACTCATTTCATCATCAGATGAGTGTAGTAGGTGGCAATAAGAAGGCATAGAACGAGAATAAAACCAATTAGTTGAGCGCCTTAAAAAGTAAGTAATAATAAAGCAGCCGAGCTTTAATAAATCCATTAATCACCTTGCATGTAAGCGAAAAAACTTAACAGCAAACACTACGGGCACACACACAAAAGATTTCGTTTTAATAATTATTCGTTCGGCATTAAATACGGGAGACCGGCGTCCCGGCTATTGCCGCTAAAATAATAAATTTATTGTAGGCTATAATTAACAAGCCATAATTCTGCTTATAAAGGCAGCGAGATTAAATTAAGATTAATTTACTATTCACCTCGCTTTTGAAATAGAATTATATGCACGCCCCGAGTTTGGATTTTACCTGGGCTGTTTGGGGGTTAGGTACCTATTGGGGATTTCTTTTAGAATCTGCACCAATAGAAAATTACTCGCCAACAACTAACGTTATTTTGCAATTCCAACCTAAAGATTAAACTCAATAATTACTCGTTTTACCGCTAAAAAAAAAACAAGAGAAAAAGGTAAGCGAACAGAATAGGATCATTAGGCCCTTCAGAAACTCTTAAATTTTCAAGTCTTTATTGTGTTGTGGTTAAAGTCTTTAAAGGCACCTAGGTTGAAATAGAAAAGAGTTAGGAGCAGGGAGCAGTACATTCCTGGGCGCTTCAAACTGGGTCCTTTCCAGAATCTTGCATGAGTTTTCATCTATAGAGAAGGCCAGCAGCTGTCCTTCCTTCTCTATTCTCCCATTCTTAGGCTTGGATTTTGTATCCCAAGATTTCTATGAGGTCGCTTCTGGCTCTGACACAAAAACGGGAAGTCTTGGCCTTGCTGAAGATCCTCAGGATTATCAGCCATCAGTTCTGCACCCTCCCAGAGTTGACCAAGGGATTCTACACTTTGCCTGAACCTGAGTCTGCTGTCGGCTGGTTAACGCAGGTTATCCATAGGATTCTTGCGCTGAACGATATCGTGTTGAACTGGAACATCGTCTATTAGGGCGTTTTGGATCAGGTCAGCTTGGCTCTGATCCAATGTTGTGTCCGGGTCTCTGAAAAACATCAAAGTTTTTCCAAAGTATGATGTTTGTATCAGAGCCTTTGATATCTATGGAGTAAGCATTCAGTTTTTTTTTTTACGAGTTTCTAGAGTTTCCACCGTTTTTAATTCTGCAATCCTAAATCGTGATTATCAAGAGTCTTTCAATAATTGATACCTTCATAAAGTTTTCAATTGTGTCTTTAATGATGAACCCCAAAGATTTTTCGAAATCTTCAGTGCTTTGGGAATCTTCAGTGTTTCCAGTTCCAGTGTCATTAAAATTCATTCAGCTATAGCTTCTTGGAAAATTCAGCTTCTCTAGTCCTTAAGAATTTTCAAAATTCTAAGGCTTTAAATTAAAATCTTGAATGATGTGCCTCGCAAATCTTCAAGCTTTTTCTCCGGGTGTTTTCAAATCTCTCAATTTTTTAAACGAATTCAAAAACTTCAAAATTTTAAGATTTCAGTTTTCTGTCCTTTGAATCTTCAATTTTAAATAATGAACTTCAAGGCCTTGATAAGCTCAAAGTAAAGTAAAGTAAAGGTTTATTAACGGATTATCCATTTTAAATAAGTACAAAAAGATACAGGTAACCAGTGGCGCAGCCAGGGGGGGGGCCAAGGGGCCTGGGCCCCCCAAGGCTTCAGAGAAAAATAGAGAAATAACGAAGTAGACGAAAGCTGTAAACTGCTCATATCAGAAAAAATTTAAAGAAAAGTGGGTCTATGTTTTTTCCTATAATTTTTTCTGCATGGCCCCCCCCCAGACAAAATTTCTGGCTGCGCCACTGCAGGTAGCTACACAATAAAATATATATTTCTAAAGAATCATATGCTATGCTGAATCTGTGATCTGAATCGTCATCAAGTTTCTCATTACCAGAAAACCTTGGGAACTTCGTCAAGACGAGAAACGACACGATGTCTACGTCATCACTGGTGTTTCGCCATGGTGGGGGCTCAAGATTTGAAATACACAGGCTTTCCTGTAGATAGTAGTAGTGTGTATTAACCTTGCAGGAAACTGAGGTCTAAAAGTATCCAGTCCTCCAGAAACCAAAGTAAAGTACTTAGTAATTTGAGTACTTTCGGATCGCGTTTCTGTCGTTGCCACCACTGGCATTTGCCCCCCCCCCAAGACCTTCAAATTTTATAGATAATTCTTCAAAATTAAAATAAACAGTCCCAAAAATAGCGTGAATAAACCTAAAAAAGGGGCGTGGCACCAAAAATTTTCGCGCCTGCGGCGCTTTTTCCCCGGCAGTGGGTCGCGGTGGGGTCTTAAGAAACACTTCCTACGCCAGTGGTTGCCACATCTTTATTTTTGGTTAAGAAGCTATAGGCTATGATCAGACAAGGAGAATACACTCAAGGAGTGCTTATCGGCCTCGTTTTTACTAATCGCCGCCATATTGGTTTTCAACTGTTTTTAACCATTGCCGACGTCATAACTAAGTCGTCAGCTGTTTGAACAGCCTACGTCAAGGCAAGAAACGCCATGCTGTTTACGTCACAACTGGTTGTTTGGCGTAGGGGGGAAAGGGGAGATTTGTTACACACAGGCCTTATGAGGATAGGCCAACCTGTAGTAGTAGTGTGTATCATCCTTGATGATCAGGAGCATTAACCCTCAGATTTGACTAGATTTGACCCATTTCCCAAAATCATTATTCATAAAAAAAAAATTATACTTGCTTCTTGATTTTGCAAAATAGTTACCAAAGTCGTGTGTAAAAATTGTGAGACTGAAAGCGTGTTAAAACGTGTAATTTGACCAGCATATCATGTAATTTCACAAAATCACATTAGCAACACTGCAAAATCTATCTTGGAAAAAAAAAAACCATAATGGTGTTATGGACGAGGTTATGAATCTATAACACAACTATTTTTAGTGATTTGACAAAAGTCTCAAAGGTAAACCTGCAAAGGTAAAATGAAGGTAAACAACTACTAATAAACGAAAATAATTGAAAAAATATTCTTATTTTTCGCTTTGTAGATAAGTGTGATTAGAACGACTCGGTCTACGACCTCGTTGTTTTAATCTTTCACACTCGTTATTGTAATCATGTTCATAAACGCACTTGTAATGTAAATAATTAATCTACATTATAAGTGCGTTTATGAACATTATTACAATAACAAGTGTGAAAGTTTAGAACGACGAGGTCGTAGACCGAGTCGTTCTAATCACACGAGTTTTGTAGTCAGGTTTAAACGCACGTGTGATGTACAAATTTTTATCTACAAAGCAAAAAATGAGAAAGTTTTTTCAATTATTTGCGTTTATTAGTATTATCTATTCACAAACCGATGTCCAAAGGAAAAGGTAAGATTTATCACCTTTTAGTGCTATTTGATAGGGAAAGGTGATAAATTTACTTTTACCTTTGGACTACGGATTGTGAATAGGATAATTATAGGTATTTAGTTGTCTTCCTCCATTTTATCTTTACAGGTTTACCTTTGACATTTGTCAAATCACCAAACATAGTTGTTATAGATTCATAGCCTAAAATCTGTTTTTTTTTTTAAAGATAATTCCCCAAGTCAAAAATTTAGTAACTATGTTGGCAACACAAGCCTTTTCTACATGAAAAATTTGATAGCATTGACAATTTTACATTGTATTGCCAACCTAATGTCAGTTTGACTTTTATCTTTAAAAAAAAAAACGCACTTTAGTCCATAATACCACTGGTAACACAACTAGTTATGTTATGAGTCTCACGACATAACTAAAATACTAGAAAAATGGTTATGTAAAAACATCATAACCATGTCTCTTCTCCCTCTACCACCTTCCCATAGGTACTCCCATTGCAGATTTCCATTATAAAAACGCTATTACTTTTTTTTACTAAACTATAATCATTATGGCTGAGCCTATAACTGTGGCTAAGGCCCGGACTTCGTACTGGAATACTTTAACATGATGGTAAGAATGTAACTGGAAGAAATGAAAAGGAAAATGATTTGAGCTTGCAAAATGTTGAAGCCGATGGCATTGTCAAACCCCTGTGGGGTCGTATTTTCGAAGATTCTCGCATACGAAATTTGATATAGCTTTGTTTTGGTTTCACTCAGAACTAGTTCGGAATCATTCTGCAGATGCGCATATTATAAAACGCGTTTTCGTTTTTTCAGAATCGTAATCGAACTGTATTGACAGTGTTTTGGTTTATCTAGAACTATTTAAGAACAATTCTGGGATGGATCTAGAACGGTTCTCTCAGTTCTTGCTCTGAAGGAGGAACTGTTTTGGAATTTTGTGATTTGCGGTGTGTTTTGGTTTTTTTGGTTCCGAATCGGTTCAGAACTAGTATTAAAACAGTCCTCTATTATTTTTTGTGCGCAAGCAGTTCTACGCAATCCCAGAACCGTTCCAAATTTCGAACCAAAACAAAGCTACTATTTCGAATGCTCCCCATTTAATTTACATTGCTGTCAGTCAAATTTCGTGTACGAAATGTACTCGAATGAATTCGAAAATACGACCCAGAGCAAAAGTCCCGACACTTAAAGTATTGAAATGAAAGTCAAGCAAGATTCTCTGCCTCTCGCTCCAAATAGTTTTTGCAACATCCAATCCTGCACCAATTACAAAACTCCATAACAAAAAAGACACTAGCCAGCAATAAACCAAACCAGGAAATCTATAGTCGCGCATTCCAATTATATTTATGTGTCGCATTAAATTCGCCATCGTCGCAGAGGAATCCGGAATCGGGGAAAAACTGGCCTGCGAGAGAGGATCCTGCGAGGATTGGACCAAAATTGCATGTGTTATCTATTGCCCGGGGCTCCAATTTGAGCCGATGTTAATTGTAGCAGGGCTTAAATGGCTCTCCCCAATCGAATTACCGATGTGTCTGTCTCGGTGAGAGAGGACCTGATACCGGAATTTGCAACTGTTTATGATTGGAGATTTAAATTAAAATTTCAACTGGGAATTCCTTTATATGGGCTATTTATTTAATCATATACATATGACGGCTTTTATTTTAAGGGATGCAAAAGATTAATTTGGAAGAAGACAAATGGACTCGGGACACCTCCCCCCGGAGCGAGATAAGGACATTAACAGTGTCTAGCGGGCATACGGTGCCCCACCTTATCGCACGAGCCTCCCCATTAAAATTATGTATCAGACAAGGATCTGCATATAAATCTGCATTACGTCAAACAATGGGGGAGAGATTTCTCGCTGAAACGATTTGCTTGCTCTAGCTTGCGGTGAATTATTGATTTAGAATCTAGAAATGGGAGACTAAGTTACAAATCAACCGGTCAACGGTAGTTAGTTGATTTTCTTGAAATCAGTTCAGGTAATTGGAAATGTTTTCTGTTGGTTCATGTTGTGGATATTGCTCCCTTTTTTAGTGTCACAAACTGATATATACCTAATGTTATATTTTTCCATGAATGGTTCACTTGATATGTCTGGGCTTTATTGTCGATGTTCCACATTAGAGTTTTCCAATAATTACTGCATGTTTTCAGTAAATCTTGGCAATCATCAATAGCTTCTTTGCTAGATTTCTGATTTATGCATTATAAAACTGTAAATTTTCAATTTAGGCCAGTGGCGTAGCCAGGATTTTGTCTTGGGGAGGGCAAATTTGCAGGAAGCGTCTTTTGCGGCCCTACCGCGACTGCTGCCGGAGGCTTAGCGCCGCAGGCGCGAAATTTTTGGGTGCCACGCCCCTTTTTCAGGTTTCTTTACGCTATTTTTGGGACTGTTTATCTTAATTTTGAAGAAATATTCATAAAATGTAAGGGTCTTGGGGGGGGGCAAATGCCCCCTTGCCCCCCCCCTGGCTACGCCAGTGATTTAGGCTAAGTTTCCCATAATCACGATTTTTCTTACACGATAAGTTACATGATGATAGTTTTTACTGTTTAATTCCTCATAGAAATTCTTGTTTCTTGGCTATTACATCGTAAAATTATTTTAGAAAAGTTGAAATAATGAAGGTAAGTACCTATAGGTAGGTAGGTACTTACGTTTTTCACCTGTTGGCCAGTCAAAAATTCCATCATCCCGCAATGAATTTATATTAAAATGTTTAGCAGTATAATTACGGGGCGTATATCCATCCCAAAAACAAAGCATTCAGATATTAATTTAGATTCCAGGTCGGAAAATTAAAATTCGGTGTTTTTGTTGACGGATCCAATGAAATTTTAATCAACTTTTGATTGATCGACGCGCGGTGCTAGGGTGCTACCCGAAATGGAACGGCGGCAGCTTCCCACCATAAACAGCACAAAAAATCCATCATCAGTGCCGTACCTACGAAAAATTTAAGTGTCATTAAAGGCCAAATTATTTTAAAACGACCCCACATTAAGGCGTAGCCAACCTATCATTTTCCGAACTATAAAATGCAAGTTACTCGCAATTGAGTCATTAGGTCTGGTCGAAAAATCGACGCCCTATCGCTGTAGTAAATCAAAAGAAAATCAGTTGTTTGGGCCCCCTTACGGCACGCCACTTCCGCGAGCGCCGCGACGCGTGTTAGGAAAATTATTTTCTACTTTTACAGGGCGTAATAAATGAAAAATTTAGGTTATTGATTGAATTATTGTGTTATTTTTGTTGAATTGTGATATAAAGTATTTACTTATCCATTATTCTTTTTATTATTGATATGAAATTGTAAGATTACTGATAGAAAACCAGGCAAGAACCTGCAGTATCTGATGATTTTTCTCTCTCTAAGTAAGCGGTATAGGTACCCAGAAATCATTCGTCCATATTAGAATTTTTTTATTTTCATAGATATAGGGTATAATTTTCTCTATTTTATGAAAAACGTACAAAATTTGAAAATTGTCCTGTATTTCCTAGAGAAACTGAATGCTAAATTTCTGGGTGAAGTTGGAAAGTTTATGGATGGAGAACATCTCAAAAAGTAACAATAACAAAGTAAAGCTATTTAGATTTAATAATAATTGTTTATTATTATTTATGTAATTTTGATATCCAAGTTTTTAATATTTTTATTTATTTGTGCTAAGGATTTATTATTTTTTCGTTTGGCTTCAGGGTTGGACGAACTTTCGGAAGTAGGCCGGGAAATTTTAGTCCAGCGGCCCATACAATCATTAATTCATAGGCCACATCACATCATCACCCCTAGATGTGATCTAAAAATATTTAGGCTCAATAGACACTTTAAGCAAATTCTAAATTTTTCCACGTATCCGTATCCGCATCCGTAAACGCATCGACTTACGTTGACCGCCTAAAAGTCCTTTTAAGCATGGCCATACAATACGTAAACGATCGTATCCTTAGATGAAACGTTTTCTAACCTCAAAAAGTACTGGTTTATGTTGTTAAAGTTATTTAACTGATAACTAAAGCCCATTTTACAATGGACCGTAAAGACGTAACATAAGTCCTAAGCATGCGCACATTAGATTTATTTGCGTCAAATATATTACTGAAAACGCAACGTAAGAGAAGATGAGAATAATTCAAATTTTGATTATTCTTGGCTTTTGATTGGATCTGAAATGCAAATTTCGAATATTTCCGGCTCATGATTGGTTTAGAAATTGAATTTTTGATTATTCCCGACTCTTGATTGATTTCCAAAGTCAGTTTTTTTAATTTTTCCGGCTCTTGATTGGATTTAAAATTCAAATTTTGATTATTCCTGGCCCTTGATTAGCTCTGGAATTCAAATTTTGAATATTCCCAACTCATGATTGGTTTAGAAATTGAATTTTTAATCCTTCCTCTTGATTGGCTTCAAATTTTAAATATTCCCGGCCCTTGATTGGCTTAGAAATTCAAATTTTAAATATTCCCAGCTCTCGATTGGTTTTCAAAAACAATTTTCGAATTTCCCACTTTCGATTGGGTTTAAAATTCAAATTTTGATTACTCTTGGCTCTTGATTGGCTCTGAAATTCAAATTTTCAATATTCCTTGCTCATGATTGGTTTAGAAATTGAATTTTTGATTATTACCGGCTTTTGGTTGGCTTAAAAATTCAAATTTTAATTATTCCCGGCTGTTGTGATTGGCTCCGAAATTCAATTTTTGAATTTTCCCGGCTCCTGATTGGATTTAAAATTCACATTCTGAATATTTCTGGCTCTTGATTGGCTCTGAAATTCATATTTTAAATATCCGACTCATGAAACCAATCATGAGAAACTAAATTTTTGATTATTCCCGACTTTTGATTGGCTTCAAATTTTGAATATTCCCGGCTCTTGATTGGCCTAAAAATTCAAATTTTGAATATTTCTGGTTCTTGATTGACTTTCCAAAATAATTTTTTGAATTTTTCTCGGCTCTTGATTGGCTTCATATTTTGAATATTCTCGGCTCTTGATTGGCTTAGAAATTCAAATCTTAAATATTCCCAGTTCTTGATTGGCTTCCAAAGTCAATTTTTGAATTTTCCTGGCTCTTGATTGGGTTTAAAATTTAAATTTTAATTATTCTCGGCTCTTGATCGGGTTTAAAATTTGAATTTCTTACGGCTATTGCCACCGTTATAACTTAAGGAATATTTGATACAAGTGGAGCTTTCAATGTGACTCTTGTAGAAACAAAAGTCACATTCAAAGCTCTACTTAGATTAAATATCCCTTAAGTGATAGTCGTGTAAATAGCCCTTAGCCAATCAAGAGCTGGGAATATTCACAATTTGAATTTCTAATCCAATCAAGAGTCGGGATTATTCAAAATTTGAAGCCAATCAAAAGCCGGGAATAATCAAAAGTTCAATTTTTAAACTAATCATGAGCCGGGAATATTCAAAATTTGGATTTCAGAACCAATCAAGAGCCAGGAATATTGGAAATTTGAATTTCTAAGCCAATCAAGAGTCGGGAAAATTCAAAAATTAATTTTGGAAGTTAATCAATAGCCGGGAATATTCAAAATTTGAATTTCAGAGCCAAACAAGAGCCAGGAATAATCAA